CCCAGACTGGACCAACCTGCATGACCTGCTTCTTTTAATGCACCACAATAGATCAGCGCCTGCTCTCCTACTCATCCAGAAAAAACCCAAAACAGAACAAGAAAATGAAGAGTCCCGAACAATGGTTCATGTTGGGTATGGTTTGCCTGCGGCAGGGTTGTCATTGGTGGGGCACTGGCCTTGGGGCTGCCACGCCTCTCCCTCTGGCCTGCCCACGGTGCACAGGGAACCCCGTCTATCTTGGTTGGCCTTACGACAACCCTTCTCCCATTCGGTCTCCCTTTTTGTTCCTATCTCTCCTCTCTTCCATCTGTACCTTCTAATGTATTGCTTCTATCTTCCCCAACACAGACAACGCATGCTCATCATCAAGGGGGATGACATCACTTAATGGTTATGTCATTGTATTATTATTATTATTATTATTTTGCATGCTTTTGAGTTGGTTTTATTATTGTTATTTTTTCCATTTCCTTCTATCCAGTCTCTCCTTTCCACAGTTTGATGACACCTTGTTGTATGCCTTTGACCCTCCAATAAAAAAAAATAAAAAAGACTTCAAACTGAGTAGGAGGCTAACCGCAGTGTTCTGTGGTCTCTCCTGCAGTCTGATGTCTGGCCTTGCAGCCCTGGATGCCAAGTGCTCGAGCAAGCTGGGCATCATGACCGTTTCCTACTACTTGTCGACCACCTTCTTAGCGGTGGTGGTGGGCATTGTCATGGTGTCTGTGATCCACCCGGGGGGCGTGGCTCAGAAGGAAGATGCGGAAAGCAGCAGGAAGCCCATTATGACCTCTGCTGATGCGCTGCTTGACCTCATCCGGTAACAGCAGGGCTCTGTGCTCAGCAGACAGGAAGCTGAAGCTGAATCTTTCTTCATGAGTCATAGATCCATGTATGCCCTGAAATGTGGGCGGCTGCTTTGTTGCTATGAGGAAGACTAGACTTGTGTGTATTTATCCTTAGTTTTAAACTGACAGGCGCACTTGTGAACTTTTATAAAAGCAAAACAGCAGCATTCTCAATGACAGAGCAGAAGCAAAAACAACCACACAAAAAATATAATATGAATGACAATTAAAGTCACATATAACAGCTCAGGGAACTGAATTATTTTTACTTTTCAGCTGCAAGTAAAGTAAAAAAACATGTTTCCATATGCATCTTTCAAAAGGGGCCACTGAATCCACTGATCACATGTTCATGTGCTTATAGTGATTCTCAGTTCCCTCTAAAAATGCCTATTAAATTCATTTTACCAGCAGCCTAAAAACATACTTGCCCAACAGATTAATATCATTAGGATTTAAGAATTTTTAAACATTTTTACCGAAGGCAAAATAGTATCTTATGAAATCAGCGTACCAGACGTGAGCTCTCCTTTCACTCCCCAGCTTGCGTGTTTAACCATAGGGATATCACACGCCACTGAAAAGTTCAGACTTTTCTCTTTTGTCTCTTTTGTTATAGTAACATGTTTCCAGAAAACTTGGTACAAGCAGCTTTTCAGCAGGTAGGTGACTTCAGGGTAGTTTGCAACAATGACATTTACAAAATGAAATTGAGGAAGTTACATGATTTACATTTATTAGATGCTTTGCTCCAAAGAGACATGCATTTCAAAAATGCAGCCAGGCCGAAGAGCAATTGGGGTTAAGGGCCTTGGTCAGAGCCCAACAGTGAAAACATTCTGTTGACCCTGGGATTTTAACCAATGACTTTCAGCTTACAGACACAACATCCTAACCAACAGAGCCTGGCATGATAACCCCACACCCTGATGGTTAAGGGTTAAAACCCCAGCTTGCCTTCAGTCCCGATATATATGCAATTTTGTGAACTAGTGTTGGAAAATTGCCTGAACTGCAATTTCCATGTCCATGTTCAAAGTGATGACAGGACAGCAAGATCAGTCAACATAAAACATTAGGTTAAGGGCCTCACTTTTGGATGTGGGATTTGAACCCACAACCATCCACACAAAGGCAGGCATGGCTGACTTACTCAGCTACACATTGCTCCAATGATGGATTGATATGAGTGTTACAGCCTTATACACATACATTATTCATACAACCCACTGTGTGCCCAACTACATGTTCTGTGTTCTGTGTGCAGAATACCCAGTAAGCCAGTCAGAGTAATGATAATCCGCTTTACAGTATCGCACCCGAATCGTACCCACGCTGAAGACGCCCAGGCCCACTGCCAGCCACAGTCCTGCAGAGCCTGACCCTCAACGGATCTTCGTCTATAACATCCAGGCTGCCAACAGCACCGACGTACAGAGCTTTTCCCTGGACCTAACGCCGGCACCCGACATCATCTTCCGCACATTCCCGGGCACCAGTGAGGGCACCAATGTGCTGGGGCTCGTCATCTTCTCGTCCATTATGGGTACGGACACGGTGCAGCTGGGCAGGCTGTGCAACAGGGTGGCGGGGGAAACCACCGCCCCCTAGTGATGCCTAAAAAACAGGGTCTTTGGAAGATTGACCTCTCCTATAAACAAACTAGTGATTCAAAAATGTGAATGTGGAGTATTGATAAATAATATCAACCTACCCACCGCAGTGGAACAACCAGAGAGGGGCGAAAATACATCAGAATGTATTTTGATACAAAACACGGTAAAATACACTACATAACACAGCCAGCAAGAAAAGTATCAAAATAAACTACAGTATTTTGTATCTGGAAAAAACTAAAACAGATTTTGCATACCTATGTCAGCCTGTTCCTTCACATGCACACTGACTCAAATGGCAAAGCATTACAGCAACATTTTTTCACTGCTTGATAAGACGCAATGCAAATGTGGAAATGTGAACACTCAAGGATTCCACTGAGAAAGCAATAATAACAGATTCATGAAGACTCGTTTTTTTGTAATTAATTTGACAAAACTGCATCTTTTTTTTGCAGTACGGATGCTAATAAACCAAAAAACGAAATTTAAAATGGAAAATGGCAAACACAATTTAAGAGCTTCGCTCACCAATTTTAAACTCATCTTAAAAAATGAATAGGCCTGAAATGAGCTTGTGAGTCTTTAGCTTCAACAAAGGAGATTAACTTCTACAGCTTCCTTCCTGTTCATGCACACATATTTATCATCGCACACATATATTATGGGGAAAGTATTTCTTCTATTTTCAAAATATAAAAATAATGACAATGGTGAAGATGAAAATGATGAGACAGTTTGGCTTCTCCTAGGCATAATGCTCAGCAGAATGGGCGCCAACGGCAGTGCTTTGGTGAACTTCTGCCAGAGCTTGAATGAAGCTGTCCTGAAGATTGTCGCCATAGTTATCTGGTTCGTATTGCTTCTCAGTCACTAGCTTTCAGATCACCGTGACAATCACTGTAGTGACATGAGGTCAACGAAACACTTATAAATGCTGTCACAGCCAGACAAAGCAGCCGGAAATTAAGGCGGTCATGTTCCTGGTCAGGTACTTCCCCTTTGGCATCGTGTTCCTGGTGGCAGGAAAGATCCTGGAAATGGACGACCCCTCTGCCGTGGGTAAGAAGCTGGGCTTCTATGCCATCACGGTGGTCATGGGACTGGTGCTGCACGGCCTCATCATCCTGCCCTCCCTCTACTTCCTCATCACCAAGAAGAGCCCTGTCGTCTACATCCGTGGCATCCTGCAGGCCTTGCTCATCTCTCTGGCCACATCATCTAGGTAGGTTCACAGACACGCCCTGATCTTCGCGAGGTCAACACACCCCTGGGTCAACAAGGGTGGGGATTGCATTTCACTTCCCTAACCAATCACAGTCCTCATCATATGACATCGTCACATTAATTAAAACCGTTTTTTTCTGTCAAGCAGCAGGGTGCACTCATTTGTAAAGTTCTATGTTTTATTTTGTAGGCTTTTTGTTAAGGGACATGTCATATATACAAAACATAAGAACATGCTTACCTGCAAAGGCTGTACAGAGCGATGTAAGGGTGTGCCTTTATTTCATGATGATCATAATAATAGCATCAACAAGCAGGAGGTTAAAGACCTTGCTTCAAGGCCCATGGATATGTGGTTATTCTACCGAGGATGGACTGAAAACGACAGCTTCTGATCACAGACTCAGAGGCTTAGCCTGCTCAAGTTCAACAGCCGGAAGCCTTGAGTTTGAAAATGAGGAATAAAATGGCCCTGGATGCTGGAGAACGTGGACATTACAGTGGGGCTCATCCTTCCCCAACAGCTCTGCCACGCTGCCGATCACCTTTAAGTGCCTCCTGGAGAACAACCACATCGACCGGCGGATCATCCGCTTCGTGCTGCCTGTGGGCGCCACCATCAACATGGACGGCACGGCGCTGTACGAGGCCGTGGCTGCCATCTTCATCGCCCAAGTCAACAGCTATGAGCTGGACTTTGGGCAGATCATCACCATAAGGTACATGTGACGCTGTGTGGGAATGTTCAGCAATGTCAAGAACCAGGGGGCTTCTGGAATCTGTCGTTACCTCAAACTAACGTTTATATATGAAAAGTACCTCCCCAAAGCTGTCTGTAGATTTTCCACAAAATTTGTCAGGCTCAGCAAACTTGCTATTTAAAGAATTTATCACAGTTAATCTTTAAATTTGCTTTCAAGCTCAGCATTTCCAAAAGTGTATTTTGATGTTAAAAATGCAAACTTCGTTTAATGCTTTCTCTTAACTGATAGTCATGCATGGTTAAGAAAAGCTTTTCTTTCATAACTGGGAAAGAAAAATCCCAATAATCATCTTCCATTCTTCCTGAAAATTTGATTTAAGCTCCCCGTATGCCCTGCTGTGACCAACCTGCTATTTCCACCACCAGCTATATTGCGTATTGATTTTTTTTGTTGTAAGTAAGGTTGCAAACCAGTACTAGAGAAACATGACCTCGTAATCCGAACTAGAAACAGGACATTTTAAGCAGGTACCATCTAAAAAAACGGCACATGTCAAAAGGGTAATTTTTAAATTGATTTCCCATCTTGAATGCACAGCTAACTGAATTGATGTACTGTAGGTCTGCTTTTCAGAAGTATTGAAATAACCAATTCCTATTGTATACAACTCTATCTGAAGTAGGAGCAACAATCCTAGTGGGATTAAAAAACTTCTGTGGGTTTAAGGTCAAATTTTAGCAAGCCAGTGGTAAAAAAAAAAACCTCATTGTTCACATTCACAAAGGAAGGGTAACATTAAAAATAACAATAAAGAGTTCCCTTCAGTGGTTCACTTTCCTATTGTTTTGATTATAGTCTTCTTATGCTTCACAGCATCACAGCCACCGCAGCTAGCATTGGTGCTGCAGGGATTCCACAAGCTGGACTTGTGACCATGGTGATTGTCCTAACATCTGTAGGACTCCCAACTGATGATATCACTCTCATTGTTGCAGTAGACTGGGCTCTGTAAGTATATAGTCCCATTGGTCATCCTTAGCTATGGTTCTAACGCATTGAATTCCTGGCTTCATCTTTAGAGGCTTCATCTTTGGAGAAGAAGATTAATCATGCTGAGGTAGTGGTACAGTGTGGCCTCACGTTCTGCTCGTCTGGGATTGGCCCGCAGTGGTAGGGAGGTGGGCATAAACTGACATTTGACAGCACAAGTTCCCAATGGCTAAGTGGAGGAGGAGCTCAGCAACCTGGGTTGTGCTGTTAGCAGCGTTGGTGCTAATTTACACTGACGTCCAATGCCTTTGTGCTGCAGGGACAGGTTTCGCACCATGGTTAACGTCATGGGCGACGCTCTGGCCACTGGAATAATGGCGCACGTGTGCAGAAAAGACTTCATCAAAGAAGAAGAAGAGGTATGCTCTTTGATATTGTTTCACCTTATGTGAGACAAGATAGCGTTCCTTTCCATAAGCCATAAGTGAAGGATAGCCAGTAATTAAGCCAGCAGTGTCATCTTGGATGGCACGTTGTCTTACACAGCTCATATACATAATGTTACTCAGTCTGCTTGTTTCCATCTTCGAAATATAAATCGTCTTCGTCCGCCTCTTTCACCAAACTCAACTGCCATACTTGTTCATACTTTGGTCACAACACGTATTGATGATCGTAATTCTCTTCCGTCCGGTTTGCCTTAAAAATCTTTACACAAACTTCAATTGGTTCTGAATTCAGCTGCTCGTTACATTACTAGAACTACTTCTACTAATCATATTACTCCTGTTCTTCAGGAACTTCACTGGCTTCCCATTACGTATCGCATTCATTTTAAAATTCTGCTTTTGACTTTTAAGGCTATTCATAACCTCGCTCCATCATATTTGTCGGAACTTATTCATATCAATATACCATCTTGTAGTTCCATACACTCGTCTGACTACAATGGGAGTTAGAGCTTTTAGTTATTCTTCAGCCTATCTGTGGAACTCTCTCCCATCGGACATCCGCAAGATTGATTCCATTAGCACATTTAAAAACTCATTTGTTTAGGTTGGCATATGCAGTTTAATTTTTTTTTACTTAATACTTTTGTGCATTTTAATTGTGTAATTTTTGTTTAGTTTTGTGTATGTTAAATCTTATTATGTTTCATTATGTATTTTGTATACTGCGGTGTAAAGTGACCTTGGGTGTTTTGAAAGGCGCTGGAAATATGTATTATTATTATTATTATTATTATTAGAATTATCTGGGTGTCTTAATGACAAAAAGCATTTGACTATGGGAATCCAAAACAAAGACTTTAAAACACTTAACAGAAAACATTTTGGACAGAAAATTGCCAGCTGGCAGCTGGCAATCTCAGCCCCAGAGGGGCAAAGCTACAGTGCCACACCCTGAGCTGCCATGCAAACTGAGGTTTATTTCCATTGCTGGTTATGTAATTGTACAGGACTGAAATGTAAGAAATGTTTAAGCACCTGAGAATAATCAGTACTGAATCACAACAAAAAATTCTTTAAAATATTGGGTAATGTAACTTCATAATGCATTTATCATGCATTCATAGAACATTCATAAGCAGCATGTAAGGATACCTTATAACCCTAAAATACTTTGACAGCTGTAATATACTTTAATAACAAACATTATATGATTATACTATTCTAATGATATTGATGTATATTAAAGCTGGTAAGACGTTGAGGTATACTTACAAGCCACTTATGAATGCTCTATGAGTGCGTGATGAATGCATTATGAAGGTGCACTGAATGTAATATGAGTGCATTATAAAGGCATTATGAAGGTTTAGTTAATGTAAAGCATTACCAAATAATGACCATCTTCACACAGTAATGGAATGCAATAATGCAATGACAACGCAATCCATAAACTGTGCTCAATTATGGACCATCTCTAGTTATGCTGCATGGTCACAGTCACGGCAAGGCAAGATATACAAAGGATATACAGCTAAAGGCAATCAGTCTGAACCAATATTATTATCATTTAGATTTCTTTTAATTTAGTTAAATTAACGGTCTTCTAAAGGCAATATACTGGACTAAGTTTCCTTGAATGATCTTCATCAAGGAGGAAAGGTGTATGAAGTATCACTTTAGTTAAAGAGAATTAAATAAACTGTAACAGGAAGTATTTGTTGTTTGTTTGTATTTTATTTCCGTTTCAGAAGCAATGTTTTCTTACAGTTTTAGTTTTCATTAATAAAAGTAACCCAGGCCTGACAGAGTCCAACCTCTGGCATCAAAACTCTAAGCCAATCATTATCTCACACTCTTCCAGACTCCACTGATCAGTGAGACCAAGCCCATCAACAGCATCCAGAAGAACGGGCACTTACAGACCCCCCTGCTGGGCATATCGAGTCACATCTCCCCAGAGGTGGCACGCCTCATCCAGCTGGAGGAGGGGGTGCGGCCCATGGAAAAGAACAAATCCCCATTGGATGGGAGGGACAACAGGGACTACTGCTGTATCGACATGGATGACTTGGAGACCAATGTGTGAAGCTGTACAACAGGGTGGGGCTGTAGGGTACACAATGCTGCTTAGGAGGATCCCAGCTGGAAAGAAAATCCCAGCAATCGATCCAGGAGAAACAGACAGGCTTTAAGGAGAAAAGCTCCATGAAGGTTTAAGGACCATTCCAGGCAATCCATATGGGACACTGGTCCCATCAAGGTGGGACGTGAAACAGTTGCATGGGGAGCAGAAGCTAACCGATCTGGTCCAATCCCACAGGAGAACTACTGTAGCTGACTATGATAGAACACACACACAGCTCGCTGCATAAGGGGCTGCAGACTGATTACAGTGCCCAGGCAGACCCTTGTCCATTGCTGAAAGTGCCTACAATGAGCGCATGAACGTCAAAACTATACCACTGACCAGTTGAAGAAGGTGACCTGGTCTGATGAGCCACGTTTTCTGTTACATCATGTGAATGGCCAGATGCGTGTGCATTGTTTACCTGGGGATGAGACTATCATCAGTGGAATGCTCTAGACAATGTTCTGCTAGGAAACCTTGATATATACCACATATACCACCTACCTAAACATTGTTGCAGGCTGTGTACACCCCTTCATGGCAACGGTATTTCCTGATGGCAATGGCCTCTTTCAATAGCCAAACACATGGAAAAATTCTTCTGGAATGGTTTGAAGAACATGAAAAGGCTGTGATGACTTGGTCTCCAAATTCCCTATATCTCAATCCAATTGAGAGCCTCCATAGAGGCCCCACCTTGCAGCTTACAGGACGTACAGGATCTACTGCTAACATCTTGGTTGAAGATGCCTCAGGACACCTTCAGAGGTTTTGTGGAGTCCATGTCTGAACTTGGTACAGCTGTTTTTGTGGCATGAGGGCAACCTACGCAAGCAAGTGGTTTAAATGTCATAGCTGATCAGTGTGTACATATTATATTATATTATATTATATAGAATAGTATGACAGACACATGTTGCCTCTGTTTCTTTTTAGTATACAAATGAACATACAAAATTTTAAGTCTCTAGTTTAACATTCACAGTTCGCTATAGTTTTCATATTTTGTTACTATTGCATTTTTTCTGTGCTGTGGATGATATAAGCAATGAACAGCAGCAGAATATTCTTGTCAATAACATTACAGTTTTTCTTGGTTGATTTGGACAACTTCTCTAAACAGTCCTGAGGTTCTCTCGACTGCTTGTGCATTTCTCAAAACAGTATGTATACTGCAGCACAATAATTTTGATAGCCAGCAAAAATTAATTCATTCAAAACCTGTCATTCATGTTTCAAAATGCACCTTTTTGTCAGCCATTTAGTCAATACCACCAAATTGTGAAATCTCTGTATCATTGCCTAAAGCAGAGGTGATCAATCCTATCCAGAAAGGGCTGCTGTGTATGTGGGTTTTCGCTGCAACTCCCTAATTAGATTACTAATTAGAGGACTGATTGGCTAAAGAGTCCCCACAACTGGGTTTGAACAGCTGACCTAAAGGTTATCTCAACATGAAAATATACTATGAAAGTATTTTAAAAAATAAAATTTAAAATGTACAGCATATTTTGTTAGGTTTTTTTTTGGAAAGGAGGCAGCCAATTCTACATCATGGTTTGTCTTGTCGCTCCTGCAGGTCTGGCCACATTTTCATTTACATCACATCTGATATTCTCTCTTGTAGTACATCAAGAATGTGCTGGGATGTCATCACAGGCAGCATTCATTGCATCGAGTAAAGACATGTGGTTGTATGGCTGATGATAGCTAATTTTGAATTTTATCAATTTTTGTTTTTATTAGTTCCCTTATACCTCACTATTGAAGGAACATTTCTGACAACTGAATTAACATTTTTGCATGTGATGACTTACACCATGCACACGTCTAAATGTTTTGCAGAGTAGACCTAAACAATTGAGAAGCATATATTTCATTTTGGCAGCATGAACAATACAACATATTTTTTTGGCTAATTCAGTGTTAATACGCCTAATCCTATAAGAACCAAAACTATAATTTCTGAATAAATGAAAACAATGAGAAATGAATTCTGCGGCAAATAACTGACTTAAGGTGTTCAGGTTTACCTGGTTATGAGAAGTACCATTTTCATTATAGAATTTGTTTAAAGCAGCCGAGAAAACCTATAATATAAACAGCAAAAACACCCACCCAGTAAACTCTGTTATTATTCAATGAAATTGTTATTCATTGAAAGCCTCTTTTGAACAGCATGACATGTTATGGTGATGCTGCCTCTCGACAGTGAAGGTGTACTGTTTCTGTTGCTTGTCCTTCATGAAGGTCGACTTGAACTTCGTCACAAGAGAAATTGCTCTTTCAGCACAGTGACAACCGTCACAGGCCATTTTGAACTGTTTGAAAATGGGATCTTCATCCCATTCCTGAGACATCTTCTGCGAAAGTCGGTTAGCTTGTTCAGCACCATCTGGAAGAAGTGCTCTGAAAATGCTCAAAGTCTTCCCTGTCACAAAGTCTCGCGGCAGCTGCAGTGGAGAGAAGTTCTTGCCTTCAAGTCGTTCCAGAACCTTTTTCTTTGGGGGCTTCTCTAGATTCTGAATCACAGCATTCTTCTCTGTGGAGTCATTCCCTTCATCGAGCAAGGTCAAGCTGATCAACTCCACCGAGACGTACAGAGATCCAACTTCCGAGCTGTAAGAGCTGTCTCAGCGAGGCGCTACTTATTCATAAAGTGCTAATGCCTATGAACTTCTCCGTTCAGAGCGACCTATAAATGTTCTTAGATCCCCCTCAATTTTTTACATCTTACCAAGGAAGTGACTGACAAAAAAGCCACCTTGTGTCTGAATCAATCCAAGCAATCTGAAACTTCAGTATACATTAGGCCACCCTTTTATTTATATGTGTGCATATATGCATAAACACACACACACGAGCCAAAGCATTATGACTTCCTGTTTTTTATATCTCAAAGCTCAAAATCTATCTCATAAAAATGGTGCATGTCAAGATGAGCTGGGCAAAGACCCCACAGACTGCTGACAGGGGGTTGGTAGCGAATACTCAACCGATTATCAAGGGAGCGATGTGTCACAACAACAGTGCATGGACCCCTGCTGTGTACGCAACTACGTAGCTGTGGATCAGACTTATCGATTCAGTGCATCCCACCGATGCTCGACACTTACCCGGCTGTCCACATGATGCAACAAAAATCAAGATTCACAGACCAGGTGACAGTTGTGGTCCATTGTAGGCGCTTTCAATGGTGGACAGGGGTCAGCATGGGCACTCTGACTGGCCTGCACTACACTGCCCCACACGCAACAAGGCTCGATGCGCTCTGCGTTGTGACACATTACTCCCATCTTCATCATCAAAATCACCAGCCATTTGTGCCACATTAGCCCTTCTGTTGGTTTGTACCAGACAGCATTGACTTGGTTCACATCTAGCATTTAAATAGTCCTGGCTGCCCAACACCCTGTCGGCAGATTGTGGTTTTTACCTCCTCTGACCACTCTCAGTAGGTACTCCCCACAGCAGACTGTGACCACCAAACAAGCCTTGCTAGTATTTTGGCCATAATGATTTGGCTCTTGTAACAGTCACTCAGGTCTTTCCCCCTCCCCATTTTTTCTACATTCAACATGTTGATGATGAGTACAGAATATTAGCTTACCATCTAATATTTCCCAGACCTTAACATGCACCATTCTCACTACAGTCGACAATATTCGCTTCACGTAGGCATGGTCATAATGTTTTGGCTCATCGGTGTATATAAATATTATGTAAATATATTTGTCTGTCCCTTGTTATGGAATGTGGAGGTCATATTCATATTAGGCCAGGCAAATGTGAAATGCAAAGTACACAGCAGGCACGCCACTGCAAGGACACACTGAAATGGGCATGGCCCTTAATAGGCTCCATACCTGGAAACATGGCAGTCTGGGCCAAGCCAATTTCATGTTATTTTGTAATTTCAAAAATGTCTTAACAATGAACTATGCAGCACATGCTGCCCAAACAGTCCTCTCTAGTGCGAATAAGAAGCTAACTTAAGCCACGAAATAAGACGCAATGAGTAAGAAGCTGAATGGATTGGAAATTGCAAATAAGTTGCTAGCTTAAGCCACATGTGACTTTGCCATTAGTTTGGATGACAAGGGCAACCATGTGCAAGGGACAGAATGACAACGAAATCAGCCACTGCACTGTGAGTGAGGCCCTGATCCATAGCTCCGCCCCCTGTCCACTCCAGTTAATTATATTTTCTTTTTCATTTTGGCAGGATCATCGCACATAGAGCTTGAAAACATTTTGCGAAGTGGAGATTGTATTTTTATTGTATTATTATAAATTAAATTAATTATATCTTAAAATATCTCTGCGAGCATGGATAATTAAAATGCAAATGGTGTTATTTCTTGTTATATTTCATTTTGGCAGGATCTTTGTGTATAGACTTTGATAACTAAATAACAAAGGAAGGTGCCATGACAACAAGCAAACCACATTTTGCAGTACAACTGTATCCAACATACCATTATTTCACTTGGAGAACAGTCACAGTCACCTTTTCTGTGTAATATAAGAAATACCAAAATGAAAAATAATAACTGGATTTAAATGGATTGGCTGGATCACCTATCAAATTAAACAATACTCTTAAATAGAAATACAGCTGACAATTGGTACATGATGAGAGGTCCAGCTGTCGGATCAGAGTTCTGCCGGAGAATTTTCTAAGCAGGAACTGAATGAGACAAAGTCAGCGGTAGTTAGTAAACCAGACAGACATCATCCTCCGTGAGAATGTTGGCGTCCGGCTCAGGAGCCCAGAACAACGTGTGATGTTCCTTAATCTCAGTCATCGGCTGTCATCGGTTTAGCTCACAGGGAGCACACGCGTTTCCTCACCACCACCACACTGCTGGGATGATACTGACCCATTGTATCCACCATTCTCAACCCATAATGCAGTTCACCATGTCCTCCAGCCATCGGGGCGAACGACATTATGA